AATATTTCCTATAGTAAACGTAATTTTGGGGGAAAAATAGCTGTGATTTTGTTCTTTTTTAAAAAAGTGGGGGGCATAAAAAACTTGCCCCCCCAGATCTAAAGGGGGGGGGGCGCCCCCCGCTCCCCCCCCTGTACTACGCCTATGTTACCTTTCCCATTGTATTAATTGTTAAACTATGGCATATAAAAAATGTATGATATTCACTGTCTTTAACTCACTATAAAAAATTATGTATCAGGAAAAGACATGCGTTTTTCAGAGAGACATTATCACGCCGTAGTAACACTCTCCCCCTTTTCCTAAACATAACTTTTACTATTGAAAATTCTCAAGTTTATTGACTTGTCCACTTTCTTCAGGTAACTTGAGTTATTTTTTTTCCCCCCCAACCCCCCGCCCTCCCCCTTCCCCCACTTTCAAAACCAACGTCTACGTCACGTATTGAGTCGTCGTGGATTGTACTTCAAGAATTTACTTTTAAAAAAATGGGTAGAAACCCTTGTGCCTATTAAATTGAGAGATGAAGGGTAATTTTACATTATGAAAAATTAGCAACACCACCCCTAAATACAAGTAAATAAATAATGTAATGTTTTCTAAACGCGCTGTTAAAGACCTGGACGAAGACATCAGTTATTATTTTTTCATTACCCATTTTTAAATTGATTGTCCTACATATGAAATGAAGCTTTTTGAATGCCATATTGTTCACAAGAAAAAAAAAAAATTTCATTTTTTTTTTCCACCCCCCTTTCTCTCTCTCTTTTTTACTTATACCATAAAATAATGGTTTTTATTTTACTCTATTACCCTACTTCTTATTTTTTAAAAACAATTTAATCAGTTCATGTAGCATTCATTATTCACTGCTTTAATCAGAGACATAAAAAATGGCATGTATTTTAATTGTACTGAATTAACAGTTGATAGAAAGAAGAACCTTGAACAGAGAGTTCCGAAGGGTAGCTTCCGAAAGATCATCATCATAAAGAAGAAAGCACCGCATATAATTAGTCAGCCCGCGGGCTACAGTTATGGTACGAAGAACTTCCAATGCGCTTGCGTGACCTGGAATTCGGGGAGTGGTTCTGCAGTAAATCACTCCTGCTAATTTTTTTTCAGTAAAATCAACAAAATTATAAACCAACAAATACCTGTTTAACACCAAAGCAATCTGTAAATTTAACTCAAAAAAATTTCCCGATGCTTATTTTTGTATAGAAAGTTTCAAACATTTGCTGGTTTGCAGAATTTAACTGGTTCGCACCGATCAGTGAACGCAGCAAAGCATACAGTTACTACTCTTGGGTAATTTTTTGTTTGACGCGTCAATTGAAGCTCTTTTATAAAATATATTGAAGGTATTTTACTTATGTATTTAAATATACAGCACAAATATTGGTTTATTACATATTTTTAGCTTTTCAGCTTTACTGCTTTTACTTTGTTTTCACTACAAATATTTCTCCCGATGCTAAATAGCGGACAGACTTGTTAAGTGCAAAAGATATTCGGAAAGTAAACACAACTGGCTAAGCTTGCTCGTTTGTTGCCCCCCGCTGAAATTAGTGAATGTCAATTTCAGTTTGTCCGTCCGTTCATCTATAGTTCTGTCTGTCTGTAACACTTTCACTTTCGTGCAATATTGCGTGAAATCTTTGAGCTTTTGCAGTGAAATTTTACACAACTGTTTAAACCTTATATGGCCTTTAGAAGACCCTCTTGATTTTGAGGTAAAAGATTAAGGTATTAAATTCAGAAATTCTGTCTGTTTAAACACTTGTTTTCGCGCGATATCTCTATAATCCATTGAGCTTTTGCAATGACATTTTATACCCAAACTCCCTATGGCATGATATATATGGCGTAAGGAATACCCCTGTGTATTTTGAGGATCAAACGTCAATGTCATAAATTCATACTTCTGTGTGACTGTGTTTAAAACTTTCATTTCCAGTCAATATCTCAAAAGGATTTGAGTTTTTGAATTAAAGTCATAGACCTTGACTCCCTATGGCCATGCCCTAACCCCCCCCCCCCCCCCGCAACCGTAATTTGGCTTGTTTCTCTAAAAACCAAATTGATGATCTAGGTTGTGGCAATCATATTTATGAATTAATAGGTTTATTATATTAAAAGAGTTCTGATAAATGAATTTAAAGCCAAAAGTGATTCATCCGGGGATGATAAACTCTAACAAGTAGGGTAAAATTGTTTGGGGCCCCCTTTTGTTAAAAATTACATATATAATGTCCATATATCCCCCTCCCATTAAAATCTTAAGATCGAAAAGATTGTAGGTTTATAACCTCTTTGAATTATGTTACGTGAATTGGAACTTCAATGTTTATATATACATACTTTCCGTTCTTTTGATTTTGAGATAAAAAAAATGAAGAATCTGCATGCAAAACGCTTCTGTTCCTATGCAGAAAAAATATTAAAAAGGATGTTTAATTTTAGTGCCCAACTCCTACCAATTAAAAAAAAGATTTGTTTTTAAAAATTTAGAAATTTATTTTGTATATTGTTTAATGGACGTTGAAATTGAATACTGTTCGTTATTTCCATATCCTTTTTGAAGGCATTTTTTTCAGTTTTTATGATTCTTTAAAATATTATCACAAAAAAAAATCCACTGGCTACTCTCAAGCTTTTTTTAAAAAACTAAACTTTATTGTCTCATCACAACGAAATGAAAAACTACTGCACGGAAAGCTAACTGGACCGGACATAATATTTAATGATCTGCATCATCATAATAACAGAAATACTACACATAATGATGAATGTACTGTATATAATGTAGAAGTACATAATATATTGTTGTGTTTACTCCATATAATGTTGGAACTACCGCATATAATGATAGAACTACCGCATATAATGTTAAAAGCACTTCATATAATGATAGATGTACATAATATAATGACATATCTACATCATATAATGAGAGAAGTACTGTATATAATGGAGGTTGTACACAATATAAAGTAAAAACTACTTCATATAATAAAAATAGTAACGCATATAATAAAGGAAGCACTGCATATAATATTTAATCCCCATTAAAAACAGTCCCGGGTTCCAAAATCAAAAACCCCTTTTCTCTTTTGGATTTCCTCTTGTGTCATTGTTATGTATATTGTATTTCATGTATTTGATTATAACCATTACATATATACAATTAACAATGTACTTTCTCTTTACATAATAGAATTGAATTTAAAAAAAAACAAAAAACTATCGACTAAAAATTAAGGGGTTGGGTCCCGGTTCCGAAGGCAATGCCAGTGAGCTTGTGATTAAAAATGTCGAAAATTCTGACATGCTCTATGTATGAATAATTTCTAACACGAGAGAAATTATTGAAACACAATTTAATGAAATAAGAATATAAACAGTCTCGTTTAAAATCATCATTTCTATAGTTCTATGGTCAATATATAATGATCTTCTCGGAAAATACAAATTATCATTTATTATTTAAAGTCAGATGCTTACTAACGTTTTTCATACCTATTGTTAGACTATTGACAGCTGCTTTTTGTAGACGGATTTCCTTGTTATTTCCCGATCATGACAAAGAGCACGCGGCGCGTCTAGTCGGTCGGGAGGGGATGCTTACGTCTCTGTGGCACCTGATCCCACCTCTGATGTTTTAGAGGTCCTTGTTCTCCGTGCTCCAGATTTGTATTATTTGAATGGAATTTTGAGCTTGAATACTGTCTGTTTTTTCTATCTCCATATTTTTCATTTTCAGACAAATAATTATGCTAAAGTGAATTCATTGAGAATATACTCCTTATTGTAATGTACATTTCGAATTTGTGTCTTTTAACACGTAGGTACCATTGATAAAGAGTATCCAAAGACCAATTTGGGATACGCTTTTGAGATAACAGATGCAGCTGTCTGGCGAATCCTACCCAGGGCCCGAGTGGGCGTCGCCTATGATGTCAAAACTATATGTCAGAAGGACAGCCAAGATATCTCGGATGTAGACAGGTATTTGATAAGTCTTCCATTATGATTTATATTCAAACGTTTACCATGCATAATACACTGTGCATTAATTATAAAAAATCATTTTCTTTTTGCAGGGAAAATCTGGCGAAAGCCTGTTTGGAGACTCCTTCAAAGAGAATTCTTGTTACCCATGGTACAGATACCATGATAGAAACAGCAGCGTATCTGTCCAGTCGAGTAGTAGACAAACTCATCGTATTAACAGGAGCATTCTTACCAGAAACATTCGTTAACAGATGCCGAATTCAATGTTGGGTTTGCCATGGGAACACTTCAAGCTTTAACAACACATGGAATTTTTATAGCTATGGATGGACATATAATACTATGGTCAGAATGTACGCGTAACAAGGACACAGGCATGTTTGAAAAAAAGTGACACCTGAAATTTTTACTTTTACATTTTTTGGAAAGAGTGTAGGGATGCAATTCCTACGTGTTCATGCATGCTGGTTATCTTGCATCATCTTCGTTTACATTTTATTGCAATAAATAAGGAACAATAGTTGTACTGCTTAAAGAAGAAACAGATGACATAGCTCACCCTATGTCTTTTCTGGAGTTTATAGAGGAATAACTGTTATCCCCAGTCAAATGAAGTTGAAGGGGATATTAAAGTATGGGTGAGTGTGTGCATAATGGGAGTCCTAATAAAGTGTTTCTTTTAGCAAGGGGATGCTCCACTTTGCAGTAGAGTAGGGTACCATGTGACATGTACTGGTAGCGACAAAAAATAACTATTAACACTTCTTTAATACAAGAAAGTAAGTTACCAAAGAAAGTTGCACAGGTCAGTGTAGTATACAAACATCTATACTGGTACATATCCTCACTTTATCCACTGGGCCAACACACTGTTTAATGCATTAAAATGTGAACACTGTATTGGGTGCATAATACACATGTCAATCCCTAAACTGCATTTTTCACTTATACATATAAATTAAAACGAAGCACATATGTGTATTGGTTCATTATTTTAATATAAATATTTATAATTTTAATACAATATATATCTCGAAAATAAAAATAATTGATGTTAGTGTGATCAATGATACACATCTACACTAGTGAAGCAAATATTGATGAACATTTGTCATGAGAAGAACTGTCCTCAGAATTTCTAGCAATCTTAACCGTATCATACAGGATTTTCTGTACTGCTTTTAAACAATCAAAAGCAACACTTAGACTTATCTAAAAACAAACTCATAAACCACTGAGACAATCTGAACCTTTTTATAATATACACTTACTGTCTCTTTAGACATTGCTTTCACTTCAGTAATATTTACAATATGATTCCACTTTTTACACCCCAAGATACATTGTAAATACAATCAATGAAAATTGCTTATAAGCCTTATTGCTCCTGGCTATAATATTTACAAAGTTGAACAAAGCATTTCCCACAAATAAAGTCAAATTTTTAAACAACAAGAGATAAACGGCGAGTATTTTGAGTATGACTGTAGTCAGAAAAATGGGCACGAGAAGATCAGATCTTTACTTTTCATTGCACTTATTTTACAGGGAAATGTAGTGGACACATCTCTTTTGATCAGAGAAATTTTAAATTGCTATCACAACTGTGTAAACCTGACAGAGTTTTTTTTTCTGGAAGTCAATGTGGGATAAACAGGAAGCACTTAGATAAAATGTGGAGACAAAAAAATATTTAAATTTCAGCAAGACTCTATTGCTGCTAGTTTTCTCTTGTCTAAATAATAAATTTCTAAATTAAAAGGAAAAAAAAAACAATCAATTGCAAAACTTTGCATTGACCTTAACAAAGCTTGGTACTCATGAACAATAATTCCACGCAAGGAAGCACTATATTCTGGGTATATAAAGAAAAACAGAAGTAAAAATGAAATGAAGTATAAATTTTATATAAAGTACCAGTCTTGAAAACTACAACCAAACTATTTAACATAAACATAAAACTCTCAAAATATACAATAACTTTTTTAATTCTACAAAACACTGTAATGGAATTATAAATCATTATGGAAATAGCCTACAAACTTTAGGTTGCATAAAATATCTCCAGTTTCTTTACAGTAAATATACACTTACTGAAACTGTTTATAATAATCACTGGTTATAGAGAATCAATAATGATAATGTATGTATAGCTGCAGAAAGTCGAATATATATATATATAGCTTGTTATGTAAGCCATATCTATGCCCATACAAAACGACATCTTAAATACATGTATATATTTTTATATAAAACATACAAAAAGCATAAACAAAGGAATATATGTGGTCCATCAAAGATCAACAACTAAGTGAATCAATTTTACCTTTACGTCAACAATCACAGATATAGCATATACGAGATCTTAGTTAACAAAAGGTTTAGTCATGTTGTGTACAGCTCAGAAAATATTATTACAGTTGGCAACCAGTACAATGTATTGGCAACTCTGACAAAATCACTTGGATGGATTATGTTAAGTATAGTTTGGACTTGTGTTACCAATTCTACTTTGTCTGTTTGGCTTGCATCATAACTAATATTTACATAAGAGTAAAGAATAAAGAGGTATATGATCCAGCAACAATTACTTGTAAATCTCAAATTCCTATAAACATAGCAAATGCCTTTGAACAATTATTATTATAATAATTTTTTCCCTTCAGTAAGTAGCACAGAGCTCCGTTTCAGCTTTTTCAGCCTTTGATCCTAGGACACCTTTGACTTTCATTGTTCAGAACTGAATGAAATGGCCGTTTCCTCCATCAGTGGGGTTAATGAGCCTCTGCTTTTTTGTCTTTCTTGTGTTTTTTGTGTTCCTCATGATCCCCGTCCTTCTTTTTCTTGAACCGACTGAAGAGTCCCTTTTTCTTCTTCTCGTGGTCTCCTCCATCGTGATCCTCCATCATCATCGCTGGCTCCGACATCGGACGATCCTTCTTAGGGGAACCCTTAGTCCTCTTCTAAAAGTCAAGGATTCATATGTAATATCTTTAAATTCTTCGTTTTTCACATCATATATACATACATGTAATCTTACATATAGTAAAGGGATCCAATTATTTTAGAGTTCCATAATGCAATAGTATTTTGAGCTAATATTACAAATTTTAAATATATACCAACCTTAATGTCATCTGTGAACTGATCTAAAATAGAAAAAAAGACATACAGTCATGTTAATGAAAAGAGTAAAAGAAGAGTTAAAAAAAAAAACAAGTCTCTGATGAGGTTGTAGCTTTACTGGTCTGTACGTATATCAAAAGAAAAGTAGCATTTGGATTCGAAACTTTGCAACAGGCAGCAATAAATAAAATTATGTATCTTTTTAATGTACTCTACATTTGTGCCAAGTTATATTAGTCTTGCAAGGCATCTGAGCTTAATTTTTACATAATGGTCTATCAAAATCTTACCCTCATCTCCATTCATTCCTCTGTGACCCCCGTTGTGTGGGGATGATATAGGTGAAAGATCATGCTCATCTTCACCTAAAAAAAAAAACATCACAAGTATAACAATTTAAAGCTTTTCTTTTGGTACACATTGTTTTTAAAGAATCATTGTCTACACGAACCTGATGAATGGTGACTGCCTCCACTGCTTGTCCGTTGCCGTACTGGAGTTGTGTTTTGTTCAGCTTGGAAGCTGCCTGATCGCTGCACGCTGTCATTCTGCGCACCTGTGGCATGAGGAGGGATGGCTGACCCCCTGTCAGGGGACCAATGTTTACTGGCCATAATCCTGTCCATCTCCTCCTCACGGATTTCCTGAGATTCCCGGTGTGCTGCCATGGGAGACACACTTCGTCCCCTCTCACCTTCTGGACTTGAAGATCTATGTAGGACAGCTGCATGGTGCTCATCAGCAGCTTGTGCTGTGCAGAATAAAGTCAGTAATTAGACTTAATAAATTATGTCTTCTATTGACAAAAACAAAAGATAATAATGAGGAAGCTGAAAATAGTGTGGGTTGTATAATTTAAATTTTTCAACCCATTCTTTCAATTCAAGCATAAACACTAGCATATCAATTAATTTCCACAACAGTTGGTTCAAATTCAAAAGCAGTTTAAGATTAAAGTTTGTAGTTTGGTGATAACAATTAAACACAGTCAGGAATAAAGCCACCATTAAGCTTCATACCAGAGGGGGAACAGCCAAAAAAGCATGGTACCTTACTCAACAGTGCCCTCTTATTTACCTGTCCAAAGCATAAACCAATAGGGCTCTCAACATGCTAATGCAAGCATCAGGAATCATATTTTTTCTATATTTATGAAATTAAGTTTTCTTGCAACCATTCCACAGAAATGTGAAAAATTTAACACTTTAAAATTTCTCAGAACAAGAGAAAACTAGAGTGATGTCAACTAAGGCACTAAAATTTACATTGATTCTGTGGAGAGATTGTTTTTCATAGGGGTGTTTGGTCTGGTGCCCATTTGTTTAAATAGTGAAAACTAACACAAATATTGGGAAAACAGGTGTTGGAGAGTGCATATTGCAATATCAGGTACGAAATTCTACTTCCTTAAGTTCATCACATGTAATCACATATTACTACAGAAAGAATAGAAAGACGTAAATTGAATACTGTATTGCAAGTCCAATTTTCCTATAAGTTGTGTGATTTTCTACGTTAGTTTTACCTACTTTTATGACTGAAGTATTTACTTTTCAGTAAATTTGAAACACTGATCCATAAAGAATTTAAGATTAAAAAAGTAAGATTTGGATAATACATTCTATATGACTCCTACATTTTTATTCTCTCTAATCAAGCTGCAAGAAGAAATATTTCTGAGATGATCATGTTAATGTAATTAATATAAGCTGAAAAACAAAGAAATTCAATTAAGAAAAAATTGTTAGTAGTACATGTAATTTGTTATAAAGCGGCACGCATTCCAAGAATTCCATACCCAAAAATGGGAAGAATGATGAAGAGAAACAACAAAACAAAGAAGTTTCCATAGTGATGAAATCAGGTGATAATCTGGAAAGCTTTCTAAAACCTTAAAACTTGTGTAGCCTATAATAAGAACATATATTTCTTAAAAAGAGAAATTTCCTTAATTATTAACTATTTATTTCTCCATCTTCCAAAAAAAGCAATACCAAACAAAAAGAAAACAACAAAAATTTTATTCTTATTTTATACACATAGTCTATACAGTTATACTGGCCTAATACCCCTTTGACAAATTAAGAAAAAATGAGTGAGTTGAATGACCTCAAGACATTAGAGCTCTATTGTTACTTCACTAAAATACATCTATATTTGTCAATCGCAAAATGACGTTAAAAAATTAGCAATTAATTATTGTACTACAAACTAACAATTGAATATATACTAAAAAATTATAAAGTGCTGGCCACACAAGTTTTATTTAGGAAAATGCAAAATAGTGACGAGAAGCATAAGGCACAAACTCTAACGTGTAAAAATCACCTCCATCGTCAACCGCGCTATCCTCAGGCGGTTGTTCAGAACTATGAAAAAATTCCAGGTCAGCATGGGATGGTGTTTGAACTGAAAGCAACCATATATATTATGGTACCAATGTACAGAACAGATGTGATACTGCTTTATCTTTTGAGTTAGAATATACATATTTATATGAACTATATTGTAAAGAATCTGTGACGTTTGCATAGTTTCCTTCATAAATAATAATTTGGTGCTCAAGTCATAATTCAGACATGCAGAGATTTACAAGACTGAAATATACTTAGTAAAATTATAGAAATAGGCATCATCTAGAAAGACTGCCAAAGGTATATCATTAAAAATGAAAAGGTATGCATAGGATTATGCAGAAATGAACATGGAATAATTTAATGATGACTATTTTAATATGAATATTATTGGAAATATTCAATTCAGTGATATAAACTGTTCATAAAATTTTAGCTATTTAGCATAAAAAGCAGGAAATTATTATTAGATATAATTTAAAGCTTGTTAATTTATATATTGTCTATTATGTCCTACATGGATATATAAGTGGTAAGTTAGTTTGTGAACCACATCATATAACACATCCCTTAGATACACTTTGCGAAAATAAATCTACATCAATTTTTTTGGTATATTTTTTAATACATGCATAATTATATATGCTTTTTTGCACATCTATACAGTCAATAAGATTTTTATATCAGAGAAATAACTATACACTCTATATGCAAATAATGTCAGTGTTTACCTGCGTAATGTTGGATTTTGCTGATCCATTCCTTCATGTCAGATGCAGAAGCTGCCTCCAGTAACGATTCCGCTCCGTCCGCGCTCTTAAGACGGAGGACGTGCTTCTTCTTATGGTAATCGGAGGCTACGTCACAGAACGCATTATGGATGAACACAGGTGGGGCCGCTGGAATCTTCTCCATGGCAGCTGTAATTAAACATCAGAAAATAATCAGAATTAATGTATCAATTTATCTCCGAAATAGCACTTGTATTATGATAACAATTCTGAATGCACTATACTACAGTAATTTCATTAGATGTATTGTTAAAAATGCCAGGTATCCACTTCATAAAGTTAGAAAAAGAATAAGGTAATCCTCAAAAGATCTTAACATACAAACATAGGAATTGAAAGGTATTGTAAATCCCTTTGCTTTGCAATCTGGCTAAAAAAAAATCTTAAACCAATTAAATGCTTACAAATTCTTCCTGAGAAAAACAATCTTACCCTCCTTATCTTTGTAGAAAACTAGGATCTGTCCATATAAAACCATATAATAATTCTTCCAAGATCGTATCGTAGCCCTCTTTCCTCCACTCTGCAATTCCACTTTTCTTTCCACTAATCCTTCAAAATCTGGATCAGGTAAATTATCTGGAAGTCTATACTTGTCCTTAAAACTCCTTGTTCTTCTCCTTAAATTAAAACTAGGAGTTTCTCTTATTCCTCATCCTTTAAATGTTCTGTCTACACGTTTCTGTTTTGGACTAACAGGGGGAGATAACTTCTCCTTTTTATGTAAATCACTAGGGGTAGGGGGTGCCACCTGAATTTCTGGTGGTGGCATTTCTGGTAAATGTGGTGCCTCCTCCTCTGTAGGGGTTACAGTTTCAGTGTCATTGGGTGTAATATTTTCATTTGGATTAACAATGCCTTCTCCTTGTCGGAACTCATAGGCTTTTTGTAACACAGGGGGTGGGAGATGGCCCCCTCCCCTCTCTTTAAAACTGATGGCACGTTTCACTTCGGCTCTGCTGGTTGATCGACCAATCAAATTCTTGACTGTACTGGTGTCTAACCGGTCATCCCTAGAAAGACAAAGTAAATTATCATATCATAAATCCTACATAATATAATACTCTGATAACTGTTTCCTTCAATAATTTGGTTACCATACATCAACAGAAACAATTACTAATCAAAATATGTTTTGGTGCATCAAGAATTCTGTCAAATTTTCTTTAAATCTGTGAGTAAAATGTACAAGATTTTTAAACGAAGCTGAATCTACACATAGCATAATGCTTTCTCTTTCATTAATTACAATAATTATCAACCTTTTCACTTTGAAAGCATTTTTAAGATTTTCTTTAGAATTCCCATGTAAGACTTACACAATTTGAACAAAATTGAATCTTATCTCATCAAGATTCGCTTTCACTTAAGTATTGTTTTTGTTTTAAAAACATGTGACCTCTGACAATTTTTTTTAGAATGATTATTTTTCACAGATATTTTCCTTGAAAGGGGACTAAGCCATTGGTTCAAACAAATCTGAATTCCCTTCACTTAAGGATACTTTGTAGACATTCAGCAGATTATGGAATTAATTAAAATAGATGAAATTTTGAAATTTGTACATAAAACACTTTAGCAAGACATACAGAGAACCAAAATGATTGTTCTCCTATTTTGAATATCCTTTGGCTCAGGTGAGCTAAGCTTATCAGAAAACACCTGATCCATGCTGTAAGAAATCACTCACTTTTTGTCCTCGTCACTCTCCGAGGAGTCCGCATCCTTCTGTCTCCTCAACAGGACCTCACGAGCCTTCCTCTGTTCTTCTTCTCTCTTCCTCTCCTGCAAAAAAATACTTCATTAATAGCTGTTATTTCTTACAAGGGTCATTGGTACTGACACAGAAATTATCAAGCTTTACAAATGATAAACTCTTATTTTCACTTAGAATTTAGAAATGAGAATTTACATTTTGTTTCTGAATATTTTACTAACAACATTTTAAGGAAAAAGACCCAAACCAGGTTTTTGCCTAGTATACCATCAAGAAATCTACTAAGAAATTCTCCCTTTAGAATGCATTACCTCTCAGCTCTCCAAAATAAGTCCTGCACAAATGGATTTATCTAAACTCATAATAACTTGGCCTCATTTTCTTTTTTATACAAGTAAAGCACATTCTGCACTATACTAGCAGCACATCTCTTTCCACTAATCCCTGTGAACAATCTTTCATGCTAGCTTCTTTTATATCATGAATTTATGCTGTGCTATCTTTTACTTATCCACCATGGAAATATCTCTAATCCCCCCTATCTTTTCCATTATTTTTACAATTTAGTACATACATATACAAGTAAGAGGAGGGGGGGTTATTTTTTGTTAATCCCTATTTATGCTATGAAATGTCTCATAGTTAATTACCCAGGTAAGTGAATCAAACTGAACTTTTCATTTTATAAAAATTGTTATGTTAATTTGATATATGTTTCGATTATTAATTACATTATTTGCATATTTCAGATTAATCTACAATATACATGTACATGTATTTGAAGAATAGATATTATCTTGCAGTTTAATCCTACATTGAAGCATTAAATCAACAACATAAGTCATCAATGCAAGTACAGAACAAATACCGGTAGATAATATACATAAGAAATCACACTGATGATGAATCGTTGCCTACCCTAGTACTTATTTGTCTTTTACTAGAATGGAATTTTTACAGAAAAGTATACAGGTATATTTAAAGAAAAAAAACCCCCCAGAAATATGAGTATCTCCCAAAGTAATAAAAATTGGTTAATTTTTCTTTCTTAAAACCAAACAAGAAAATAAATAAAATTTACTCAATAAATAAGAGTGTTAAATATTAAATTTGAATGGAAAAAACAACAATGTCACAATTAAACAAAAAAGGTATAGACATATAAAATAAACTCATGGTGAGACAAGCACAGGCAGCAACCAAAAATCAACTTCATATTAACGCTCTGGAAGCAACAGCTAACTAAATAAACTCACTCAGGTGTATTTTGAACAATAAATAATCTCACTTTATTTATTGATAAACTTTTATAAAATAAATAGCCGTGGTTCAAAATACACCTTAGTCATTAGCTTTAATTGCAACAACATTAATTCAATACAAAGCAAGAAACCAGCACATACATTTCTCTGTGTCTGCAAAGAAAGGATTTTATACAAATAATTTTATGCATAAAAATTTAAAACATTTGAGCAGATCTTTAAACCTTATGAAAAATAAATGACCATTTTAAAATGCTCTAATCTCAGTGTTCTTATTTTAGCAGTTAGCCATGACAAAAGTTTAAACTGACAGAAGCAATAGCTGCATTGAAGGGGCAGTAGTTTAGTTGCCTAGCAACTACTTTTTTGATGCTTATGCTAGATTGCTAGTGTTCAATCAAATCGTGGGGGAAAAAAATCCAAAATCACTTTCTAACAACTTTTGTGAAATTAAGACATGAGTTGCATGGAACATCAATTTAGCAAATTGAAAAGCACAGTTTCTGTTTATGATTTAATATCATTTCAACAAAATATATTAGTACCAAGTGTCAATAGAAAAAAAATCTGACTTTGCTGACTCCAGTAAAGTAATGCTAACCTCCAAGATTCTCTCCTGTTCCCTCTTTCTGATCTCATCCATTCGTTCGATCTCCTTTTGTTGTTTCTCTGCTAATGCCTGCTGCTGTTTCTGGTCTAGTAAGGACTTCTCCAGCTAAAACAGATCCCAATATTAAATATTCATCAAAAGACAATTAACTGAATTATCACAAATGTTAGTTTGATGAGATATTAGTGATTTTTTAGTGGAAAAAATGTTTTCAATTATGTTTTCTTTCAAAAGGTGACCACCAGTACCATACCATTTGCCCAAAGAGTCTACAATGGAAACCAAAAATAGTTCCTTTCCAAAAACTGATCGCTTCCAATTAGAGAATTGAAATGAAATCAAATACAAAAAGTATGGTGCCAAAACTTAAATTTCAAAATAAATCGGGATGATAACAAAAGTTTTGGTAAAATAATATATCAGAGAAAGGTGAATATAATGAGATACATGTGGATAGACTGTTAATATAAAATGAATATCTTTACAATTTGAAAACTAAACTTTCTGCATGCATGAAATATAAATTAAACAAATATACATGTAGATATATATTTGTTGAGAAGGGGCAATAAAGATGTACCTTGATGTTAGTGGGACAAAAGTAATGGATTTTAATAATAATTACCCTTTCAAAGCTTTTCTATAACCAACACACACATAAAAGGGGTTAATTTACAGACGGAGGTTTGCCAGCTGTTATATTAACATCATTATATTAATATCATTTCATACTAATATAAAATCATTGAAAAAATGAAAAAATAATCATCTCTAATGATGTAAAGTTTACAGTGCAGTTAGTATCAACAATTAGGATGCATGAATTAAAAATAAAAAGCACCAGCCCATG